GGAGTTGTACACGTAGCTTGGTAACCCTGGCAGCTGAAAAAGCCTTGCCTTTGCTGGTTATCAGTGTTGGTACAGAATGGCTCTGCTGGAACAGCACCAGCTTTCCTTTGTGCTACAGCTGATTCCCGCTAACTGTGCTGGGCCAGCCAGTCTGACCTGTTCCCTCCGGGAAGCTTTTGTTGATTTCCAGTGTTGTGTGTCTGATTTCAGCTTGCACTTCTGTTTACTTAATTAATTAAGGATTACTTTAATAGTAACCTTCCATGTTAATGCTCTAATCAGCCCCAGCCTGTCCATTGGTGAAGGGAAAGGCTGCTGTTACACAGCGAATCTCTCTGGCTGCTCCTTTGCTGACTCACTTTCATGCCTGTCACCAAAAGAGAGCTTGTAGCAGATTAAACTGAAACTATAGACGGGCAGCTGGTATTTGGGCACACTTCCTACCCCTCTGGATGTGCTCAGCCTGCCTGTAGGGAGACTTGTCTGCTGGGACAACTGTTACTTTCTGTAGCTGGCTTATTATTTATGTGAAAGATTGTTAATTTGTTTTGGTTCCGTGCACTGGGAACCAGGAAACTGGGTTAGCAGTGTAATAACTTCCTGCATTCTTTCTCTTTAGGTCCATATTGAGATCCATTGACTTGTGACTTGGTGTGCTGCTTCTGCTGTATGCTGCAACTAGAGTCAGTCACTCTTGTTCCAATCCAGCCTGTTGTGAAGCATCAAAGCTGTGCTCGTGTGCTCTAGGACTATGAAGAAAGAAGATTTTACCCAGAAACGAGTATGTGACAATGGCCCAGATCACCACAAGCCAGCAGCTCATCTGACACACGTGCATTCCATGTTGGACAGTTCTCAAAATCATAGTAGCAGTTTACAAGAATTACATAACACCAGGAATTTTCCTCTCTTTAATACTATACCTCTGTCTTCTGTTGGCAAGGAAATGCCTCTGAGCTTCAGTGAATCAGCAGGGACGAACTCAAGTGCAGCTGCTCCTTGGAAGGATTCATTTCATCTGCATTTTTCTCCTGGGAAAGACAATCTCCATAGGGTTTCTCACTGCATTGGTGGCATTTCAGTAACAGGCTGGCTGGAAGAAGCTTGTAGCATCTCTGGAGACTTCAGCTCAGGCTGCCCAGGAGACAACTTTGTATGTTTTGCACAATTCTGGCTGGGAAATTTGCAGTATAATAAAAACCTGTGGTTTCTGGAATTAGAAATGAGCAGTAGCAAGGAGAATGAATTGCAGTTTGTATTTTTTAAAGTATTGGAGCTTGGTGGACTTCCTGATTCCTGTTCTAATCCAGTTGCCTCTCTGAACAACTCTGCTATGGGACTCCCAAACAACCAGAAACCATTTTTTTTCCTTTGTTGCTTAAACCTTGTATCTTCAGAGCAAACACTTGGATATGAGCAAATGCTTATGAATATACAGTATGTGACTAATAATTTTCACATCATACAGCTAGTAATCTCTGTGCTAGCTTTTGCACTAGCAGGTCTCTGGTATGCAGTAGTGAAGGTAAAAAAGTACTGAGATTTGAATAACGACTATTTTTAATATTAGCAGAAAATAAAAGAGACAAAGTTACAGTTCAGGTTTTAGTGAGAATTAGCTGAAGCAAAAACTATAGTTGTATAATTGCTAGTTAAACTGGCTGATGGAAGACTCTTTTTTTGTAAGGAATAGCTGCATCTGAGTGTAAAGAACTTCATAATTTTCAGACTCTGGGACTTCTGCAGGTCTGCTGATAACACTAAACTAGAACCTGGTTTGATTAGCACAGATCCTTTGTTTTCTATAGAGTTTGTACTAGTGGAGTGTTCTGGCTACTACTATTTATACCCATTTCCAATGAAACTTGTTTCTTGTAGAATTGAATTCCTGCTCTGAACCAACAGCAGCTGATGTATCAGTCTTTAAAACACTTTGAACTGGAAAGCTGTTGGGAGGGTGGTCTTCAATACAGCATAATTGTCAGCAGTGTTCTTTCCAAGGATGGTACTGCTCTAATTTAACAATGCCTTGTGAGCTTTATTGTGCTACAATAGACACTGTAAACAACTTTCTGAAACAATTCTTTTTCCTTGAAAGAGTGATTGTTATTGCTGAAGTACAGTAACAGCTTCTGGGCCTGTTGGCTTTGGCTTTGGGACAGGTTTGCCAAAGAACAGGGCAAGAATGCTGGAATCCTTAGAGCTGCTGGTGAATAGAATTTTGAGGAATAGGCTCCTGGTGGCACTTCAGTGGAGAAACTCATCCTGCAGTAGGTCAAACTTTGATGTCCAAAATCCTCAGCAGGGGCATTGCTGTAGATCAGCTTAATGTGCTCTGAAGGCTCACATCAAGAGGGAGGTATTGGTGTGAGGGTTAGGATGCATTTTCAGCTTCCCCTTGACTCTGACTTAAAAGTGAGGACTTAATGTGGAGTAAAGTGGTTCACACATCCATTTTGGGTATCCTTTTTGCCAGCTGGTCTTGCTTCATCTTGGAAAGAGAAGAAGTGATGTTGTACTTAGTTTGAACTGAACTTAGCTGGAAAGCCAGTAGTTTCCAGTGTGGTGGTTATTGAACTGTTAGCACACATGTACAGAAGTCCTTGATTATGAAGATAAGATGCTGATTATGAGTCTTAGGGAGAGAAGTGCTGAAATTTTTAAATCTTATTTGAGTGCTGAAAATAAGATATATTACCTTTTATGTTAAGTGATACATTGTGTTTTCATGATCCCCATTGGCTGATTGTTTCTTTTGGATACTAAAAGAGATGAAAAGCCACTTACTTTCATTTAGAAAATAACTTTTCCCTGGTGTGCTTTTAAATGATTGCTTAACTTGTAGAGTTTTGACCATGCAATCACCTGTCACAAAGTGACTGAAAGCCCCAAAATAAGACTGGATTATGTATCATAAGTAATTACTCTGACAGCAGCAGTTCCCTCTCAGTCAAGCCATCCACTCTCCTCTCCACTGCTGTGATTTATCAGCCTTACAGTGAGTGGTATTAACACAGGTTAACACGTGGTGTTGCAGAGGTTCTAGATTCCTGAAGTGATGTGGATCTGACATCCCAGAACACCAGAAACAGACACTTCCCCAAACGTCTGTGGCTTGGAGTCACGGTGTTAAGCTGCTGTCTGCCTGTATCTTGACCCAAAAAACACTTGGCAGAGTTGAGGGTAGAGGAATGAAGGCTGGGAGGGGTTGGAGCCTGTTTAAGCTGGCTTGATTGCTAAAGACAACGTTGTGCAACTCCATATTAATCTCTATGCAGCTCCACAGGTACAGCCATACCCTCCATGTATGGTGAGCCTTACTTTAAAATGTGCACACACACAGTTCTGCACCCAAAACTTGAGTGCTTGGACTTCCTGTCCAAAGGATCCATTGGCACAGCTGTACCTGCAGTTGTTACTTGAGACCTTGTTTGTACAGCTGACTGCTTGGCCTGGAACATTCTCTGCTGTGTGTCATTTGGGAAGGACAGTTCTGTACTAGAACTGGGAGGTGAGATTGTCAGGTTAATAGGCAAGAGGAGTAGCTAAAGACATAAACCCACAGTTTTTAATGCACCTTTTTCTCATGGTGATTTCAAAGGGGAAGAAATGAAACATGAGAGACACCACCAATAAACTAGAATTTAAATGTGTGTACAGCAGAGTGCCAAGGGTTTTCTCCTTATCGATGACAAGCCCTATGGAGGAGGAGATCTTGGAATATTGAATTGTGCTACATATCACAGTCCAGCTAATACAGTCCTGTTTTAAGCAAAGTCTTGTTTGAATGTGTGGCCTTTCATTACTTATTACAGGATCACTTTAAATACAATACAGCTAAGTGAAATGATGGATGTTTGTTGTGTATTATATGTATATTGACCATAAGATACAAAGAATACTTAAATAAGTGGATTTAATCCATTTTAAGATAGTTTATGTACCTTGCCTTGAATTTTATTGCTTAAAACCTAAAAGGTAATTTTAACTTGAACATTCCTTCTGAAATTCAAATAAAGCATAGTTTGGTATGTTAAAATCTCATGTAACAGACTGCACTTTAAGCCTGGGGAGGCCGTGGATTGGAAGCACTGTTCTTGCACTACCAGAACTGTTGCCCTGACTGAGGCAATGTTTCAGTGGCTTTTCCTGTCTGGAGGGAGAATAAGGAACCTGAAGGATGGCATCCATCCTTTGAAACTATAGATAAATCTAACACTGTGTGGTTTAGGCCACTGTTCTCTTCCTACAGATGTTTTGATATTAACTCATCTCTAAAGATGGAAGGTGTCTTGGCCAAGAATTGGTTTGTGTGGAGTTTCATGGCTTCACTGTGTCCAGTGTGGAAAACTTTCCTGAGTTAATGTGCTGTTAGGGCTGTCTCAGATGATTATTACAGTACAGAAAAATAACATTCTTAGTAGGGGTAAGGGACCTTTACACTCAACCAAGAGTTGCCTTCATATTTCTGTATTGTCTCTCATCCTTCTCTAGGAAGAGGTTATTTCTAAGCAAAATGTCAGGGTTCTACTAAACAACTTGTGCTGAAATTTCATTGATTAGCATCCAGATCCTTCCTGCACTACATAGCAAAGTTTTATTTCTGCCATTAGAAAAGAAATAAGAAAATACTCCATATTAAGTGAATTTCCTACTAGTTACACTTGAGTGAAAATTTCCTATGTGGTGTACTGCTATGAAAAGAAAATATACTTTTAAATGTGTGCACAGAGCTCTGCATGTAGATAAAAATTGTTTTACCACAGTATGATGTTGGGATGCTTATGCAAATGCTTTTTTACTTTCTGACAGTGCAAAATGCAGTAGAGATGGTGCTGTTTCTTCTCCATGTGGTTTTTAGCCAGTGCAATCCCAGCTATTGTGTCTGCATCATCCTGACCAGGGGACAGTTCCAGCTGTAGACATTTTTTAGCCTTTTGCTTTTTCAGTGTTGTTGTTTGAGGTTTGGTGGTTTGTTGTTTGTTTGTGGTTTATTTCTCTTTTTTTTTTTAAGTTATTATTAGGACTGTAAAGACAGCACTTTCTTAAACTTTGCCAAAGTTTGCTTCCTTTCTCCTTCTCACCACCTTTGCCCCTTACAGGTATACACATTTCATTTTTGGAAGAAGCAAGCCTGTATGTACTCCTAATATATAATCTTATTGTCAGGTTGCTCCTTTTGTTTTTATGGCCTGGTCATGCACATATTTCTCTCCCTATAATTTCTCAGCATAAGCATATGCTGATATTTTGTTCCACCTCAGAAACATTGTCCTGTAATTAATTATGCACAACAAATTGACAGAAACCATGTAGAGATGTGAGAGTCCATAGTCTCTCATCAGGGTGTATGACAGGTGGTATAACTGACAGAGCAGTGTGTAGTCAATGTGAGTTATTTCTGCTTTTTTTCTCTTCAAAACAGCTGCTTCAGTAAAATCCAGTGTTTAATTCGAGTATGTGGTACCTCTGACAGCTGAGAATTGCAGCTAGAATCTGGGGCTTATAAAACACATGAAGGTTAGAACTTAGTGTAACTTTTCAAAAAATTGAAGAGTACATTAAAGAGTAGGTGAATATTTTGAAACCTGTTTTTTCCCCAAAAAAAGTGCACAGAATAAAATGTGCTCTGCCACTTGTTTCTGTTACAACCAGTAACTGGGGGTGGGGGGAGAACCCTTTTAGACTGCAGAGCCTCTAATCCTCAAGGAAGAGCTGCACTTGCTAGAACTTTAAAATAAACCAAATGTTGCCTATAAAAGTACTGATATTTATGATCAACTGTCATACTTAAATTACAAGGTCATAGATATCAATCTCCTGACAGTGTGAAAACAAGAATAATAAATTCAGAAGTGCTAGAATAATGCTATCCTTTACCAGCCTTCACTGGTAAGAGCAAATCCTATTGTACTTTGAAATTAATCCTCTACTGCATCCCAAAATCTTAATTATCTTGGTATTTTTGGAAGTAGTGATACAAGATTCAGACTAAGATGGTTATTTCATGGTTAATGATGAAATCAATTTAAAAGCTAAAACATTTTAGAAAATGACCAGAGGGACTTCCACAAAGAAAATCTGCCTTGAAAAGGTCTATTTTATTTGTGTGATCTCTATATATGTAGTCTGTTTTGCAAATTCCTTTCCTTCTTCATGGAAGATTGCTATAAACCTGACAGCAAAAGTGGTCAAAACCCAAACTTGCAAAAGTATCAGTGTTTCATTTTCTGTTTGTAGTCAATTTTAGCTATTATCAAACATAATACCTAAATGTAATTTAAGCTTTTGTTCTTAAAAGTAGGGAAATCAAATATTCAGTGCCTGATTCATCACTTGAAGTTGAGTGAAACCATTTCTTGGAAATGTGTTCTGCTGCCTGATGCTGACTAATTTTATGCTGATACTCAATACTTCCTGTAAACTGTGATGTCATCCCTGCAGAACAATTTCAGTCTATGGCCTTGGTCTTTGGCCCTATTTTTTTATTATTATTATTTTTATTGTAATGTGGGAGGTGGAGAAGGCTGGCACAAACCATTTTTTTTTTTTTTTTTTGTTCCAGAGAAAGATGTTTACAACTTTGTATGTATTTTAAAAATGTATTGTGACACTTTTAACTTGGGAGAGAAGTTTCCACAGTAGACTTGAAAGCTGAAGAGAGGCTTTGGAATATGGGGCGTGCTCCCCAAGCTGCCAGGAGCTGTTGAGGGTGAAGCTGCTCACTCACACCACAGGAGGGAGTTCCACATCAGTCTTTGGAGTATTTTCAGTTAGTACATCTTGGTACAGTGCATTTCAGTTTGCCTTGTCTTATGGATTGTCACTGCAAATAGGTTAATGTACAAAATCAATACACAGCAGTAATGTATTGTAACTGTTTACATTTGAACTCAGAGTACCAATGGATGGGTTTTGTCAAGCTATTTAAAAACAGAAATAAAAATCTTTTTTTTTAAAGACAAGAGGTAGTTCTGGTGCTTCTCATTCCAATTTTCCACTGCATAAATTGTACTTGAAGAGATTGTGTTTCTGCCAAGGTGAAGTCAGACAGGGAGTGGCTTTTCCAGAGGTACAATTTGGGAGATGTGTGTTTACAGAAACCAAACAAATTTAAAACCTCTGTGAGGATAAAAGGGCTCAATGCCTGCACCTGAGCTTGGAAATCTAGTATGTGAACTCAAAGCTAGTTTAATGATGTTAGCCACCAGTAGTTATTAATGGGCATTCTTTTTACACACTTTATTTTAGTGAGAAGCCTTAACAAGCCAGTTGCTTTCAATGCAGTTTCAAGATATTTCCTCAATAACCAGCTCCAATCTTACAGCACAGCTTCATTTTAAAGGGGAAAGCAAACCATGGTAAATACATGTAATGGCCACAGCAACTCTTGCATCATCCAGGACAAACACTGCTGGGTGTTTCTCTGCACACCATGATATTAACAGATATGCCAGAGCTTTTGTTTCCATTGAATGAAATATTCCCATTAATAGTAGAATAAACATGTAACCTCTGCTAAATGTTGAACATTAAAAACCTTTAAACAAGAGCCATTTACCCTTCAGAAATCTCTCTTCTGAAAGCTGCTATCAGGTGACCTTTTGATTCTAGACTCAAAAAACTTAGTTTCTGTTTGGTCTGGGGATCCCTTGCTGCCACAAGTGATAGTTTTGAGGAAGAATGTTATTGTTATGAGCTGTATTCTGAAAAGAACTGGTATTAGCAGCCCTGAAGAACAGGCTGATACTCTGAGTACAAAATTAATGTGCACTTTTTTTGTCATAATGAATGCTGAGATCATATTTCCCCTCAAAACAAGCATTTAAACAGAAATAAAGGAAAGAGGAAAAAATTGAATATAATAAATGTAATGAAGTTCTATAAAGTTCTGGCATGTGGCTAGACCTTCATGGTTAAGAAAGTGCTATCAGTGCTCCCTGCACATCACTGTGGGTTCCTCATGGCTTTTGGAATTTGTATGGCAGATCCTGAAATAGGAAATTGCAACCTTTGCCCAAGATGTTCCAGCCACCCACTGTGACAGTGGTGTGACACAGCCTTAATTACTCATGTTGTCATCACTTTCAGATGGTTTATCAATAGTTTCACATATATTTATATATTGGGCATGATTCCTGCAATGGAGAATGTTAAGGAACTCAGAATACTTTTGCAAATAAACTCAGAAATAGACAGGCTACTCTGCATATCCCAATCTCTTCCTATGAGGATCTGAAATGCTTTGAAGTCAGATTTAAGTTGGTGGCCTATGACTTTGTGGTAGTCTCTTTGTTCATCTCATACTGTAAAATTCTGTAAGAGCAATTCATCTGTACAGGAGCCCAAATTTCCTCTCTGCAAATCTGGGATTGCCAGAGGAACTTCTTACCAATTTGCACTCATCACAACATTTATCTCTTCAGCATGTTTCTTGGCTCTTGCTTTTTCTGGCAGATATTGTAGCAGCTTAAAATTTAAAAACCCCAAAACCTTAAACCAAACACAAGTACCAAAGATTCTGCTGAAGATATTCACATTTCTCAGAGAGATGATTTTTTAAAACAGGATGGAGTGCTTTACCTTACATTAAAAAAAAAGAAAAGGCATTGGATGGGGTTTTTGCCATCAAGAACTGTGGCATGTTTGTAAAGTGCACTTTTAAGTCTTGAACGTTAGGAAGTGCTTTGTCTATTTGTTATCACAAGTATTTTTCAGACATATCAAAATACTCCTTTATTTATCTTTAACCTTCTAGTTCAAAGAAAATAAAAAAAAAAACAAACACATTTTGGAATTCTTTCAAGTATTATGTTTTGTTAAAAGTGCCCCCAAGGGCAAAGGACCAAAACCAACACAGACCTCTTGCTCATTGAACAAAAAGCCAGCAGCAATGACATGCAGGATGTTTTTGATGCTCTTTGTTGGTTTTTTCTGGGGCTAGTGGCTGAAGCCCTTAATCACTTTAGCTGGAAGTTATTCACAAATAACCCTTCTGAGCTCAGTAATCCTGCCTTGCTTTGTATCATAAAAATGTATTTTCTGCAGCAGGGATTCCTCAATGGCCTCTTAGATCTCATCCTTGAATTCCAGGTACTGCTGACTGCAAGCACGTATGACCTGCTCCAGAGCTACAACAGTTACAGCATTTCCAATTTTTGTATAAAAGCATTTAAGATTAAAACAACAAAAACTATTTCATGATGTTGTATAGCACCTTCTTAAGGGTTTGCTTGTACCCCTTCAGGTGTTTCTCACTTTAGGTCAGGTTTGTAGATGCTGAATTTTCTACCACACTAAAAATCAGAGACTAGCATAAAAACTTGTCAAAACAGAATGAAAATTCAAACCTTTTTTGAAGTTGGACAGCCTTCTTTTATCTTCTGTTCCCTCTAGCTGCTTTCTGAGTGAGAACATCTGTACAGACTACAGCAGGTTTCAAGTCCTTCACTTTGATATACGGTGTATGTTCCCAACAATCTGTTGCTTAAAATAAAAGCTGTCTGGTCTGTGTTGTCACTGTCAATCATAATTTTCAGAGCTCTTCCCCACATTTTCTTTCTGGTTTATAATCATTCGTTTGCAGTTGATAGCTGTATCTTCTGCTTTCCTTCTATTTAGCAAAACTACTTACTTGCCAGAGCTGGCAAGAAAAGTCTGCAGAGCTTTTCATCACTGGATATTTTGTTACAGTCAGTTCATCAAGCTTTTTTTGGTACTTGCTCAGTTCTAATATATTTTCATTAGGTATCCATAAGGAATTGTAGGTATTCCTGAAGGGATTTTTGAGCATTTCTCTTTCATCACATAGGAAGTGTTTTTTTTGAAGGCCTCTATTGAAACAGCACTGTCCAAAGGTTTGATTCCCTTTTATATAGGGCTATTTTTACTATAGTTAGTATAAAAGAATGCTTTTATAAGTGACAATATTTCTGGTCAATCTTTGTTTTTGACAAGTGTTTGTTGAATTCAGCAGGTGATGTGCCTGGGAGGGCTCTTCTGCCTCCTAGCAGATATTCCAGCCAGGGTAAGATAATGAGATACACAAGGTGACTCCTCTCAGCCTCACATACAAACCTGAGAGAAAAAAAACCAGAAAGATCAATCAATTAAAAAAAAGTGTTTTGAAAAATTAGTGGTTGAATTCTATAGGTTATTTTGCCAGAAACATGGGATGAGAAGGTAGGAATTAAAACTTGAGACAAGAAGCAACCTATTTGCCTTTATAATAGAAATTGTGAAGTAGTTCAGATCACATAGGGAGGGTAGGGTTAACTAAGGACTGGAAATGGGCTCAGAGGAAATAAAAAAAGCACAAATATTTTACAACCTTTCTGTGGAAAAAGAAAATCACACTTTTACTATTATTCCCCTAGAGGTATTTCTGTTGTCCTTCCTGCCCTACATGCACCTTATCACAATGCTACGTGGAGAAGGCAAGCTTGAGGGTTTTTGTTGTTGTTTTGTTTTGGGGTTTTTTTTTGCATTTCAGAAAGTGTAATCAATAAGGAAAGAAATCTGATAGTAGGATTTATCTGTTTAAGTACCTTAGAGTGGTTTCAGTAGGACAAATCACAGCTCCAATCCTGTAATCCAATCACACAAGATCAGTACTGATGTCCAGCCCTGTTGACTTAATCAGAGCCCTGGAGCTGAGGATCTGCCTGTGGGAGCTGAGCTGCAATGCCTGGACTTGGTGATTTATGGGAATATCATTCCATTTAGCCTGGGTTAAAAGTGCAGCCCTGTGCACAGCAGAGTCAATGTGAATCTTCTCAGCCATCCCAACTGAGACAATATCATGTTCCTGAAGGGCCTTGAAATTTATTGCATACATTCCAAACACTGTACTCCTCACAGAACAGCCATCTTTCAGTGCATTATCTTGGGAAAAAGAGACAGAATTTATCATCTGACAATTGTAATAATAAAATACAGCAAGTCTAAAGTTATAGCATATGGATGGTCTTCTTAGAGAAATCTCCTGGGAATTCCAGTTTATAAAATGGTAACATTTGCTACTTTGTTTGAATGATTAAATTGATAACAGCTTTTGATAAGACTTTTTACATAGCTTTAAGCTCACTACTGCTTTTTAATCTTAGATATTCTTACATGAACTGTCAAAGTAATTGTGAACAAGGGTATTAAAGCTTTTTATGATAAGGAAGTGTAAGTTTTTTATTTCCTGGAGTACTAAATTCTAGGTTTTTTCCTTCTCAGCTACAGAGTGTTCATTTGTGATAATTCTGGGTCTTGTATTACTTTGCTTGCTGTTGGAGCTGCAGTTAAACATAATTTTAATATTTTTATCTACTACTATTGATCAATTATTCAGGGATATATGTTAAATGACATCTCAAAAAGTTGCTGTTGTTATCATGGTAAAGAAGTACTACAGAAGCGTTAAACAATTGTTGATTGTTAGCAGAAGGGGAGGAGACATCGTTTTAACAATGGAGGCAGATTGCAAAATCAAAGGTGGAGTTTGTGTCTAAACTTTTACTAAAGGGCCCTGTAAGGAAATTAAGGAGTTCCTGTTATCCAAGGGAATGAGTGGACAAGGCTCTGCTCAAAACTGGACTGAAACCAAGGTAGGATGTCCAAGCAGCTTTGCAGCAGCATTCAGGGAGTCTTTTGCTCATCATGCTCCCAGCACACCTCCAACATTGTGATCTAGAGCTAAAAGACCATTTTGTTAACATAAAATATGAAATTGTACTTTTCCTGACTGCATGCAGTAACTATATATAAACACTTAAATATAAACATATACACGGATTAGTATCTGCTTGTTTAGACCAAGGATAAATTCCTGCCTAAGTGCTTCCCATAAATGATTAAAAGTGCAGCAGAAAGAATGGAAACACAGCCCAAGTGTGCAGCTGTAGGTGTTGCAATAAGCATGGTAAAAGCACACCTTTCTTTGCTGTTGTGTTTCTCTGGAGTTAGTACAGACCTTCCAAAATCCCATTGTGGTAAAGATATTGCTCAACTCATTGCTGCTGCCTATGGTCAGTATTCTGGAGTAATATCTTTTATTGATTAGCAGTTTAGATTTCTAAGAATACTGATTTATCTGCATTCATCTGTCATTACTTGCAGTTTCATAATCTAATAAAAAGAATATTACCTCATTTCTAATAGGTTCAAGGCAGCATTTCATTATTTTAGCTGAAGAATACAAAGAAATTATCTCTTTTTAACTTGCATCAGAATATCCCAACTTTACTAAAACAAAATTAAAATTACATTTATAGAAGAGAACGCTTTGTACAAATTATGCAAGTCCAAACCATTTCAGGAAAAAGCAGCAGCTAGGAAAAGAGCTGCCAGGCAAGTGTACTTTGTACAGAGTAAAGATGGAAATTCCACAGAAACAATCAGGATACTGGAGATTCAAATATAAGAAACACATAGAAATACTTCATGGATTAACTTAATGCATGGAGGAGATAACCACTCCTGTCAACAGGATGGAAAGGTTTTAACTGTGAATGAGACAATATTTAAGAACATAACTAGTACTTGGCAGTGTATTTATCTTGCAAATGTGATTAAGACGTTGAAAAAATTATCAGTTTGTTTTAATTGTAGTTATCTGCCACCTTGTTTTTCAGGTTTGGAGTCCTCCTTAACTGCCAAGCTCTGGAAAAGCTGTCAGGAAGAGCAGGGGCAGGGTTTTGTTAGTCATGAGAACTCAGCTGTGCTCATTACCCACGTCCTGCTGGATTGCACTTCCAGCAGGAGCAGCAGAATGCAGGCAGGGGGAAGAACAACCCTGCACAAAATAATTCATTTGTTCTCAGCTGGTACAATAACTGAACTAAATATCCAGATGCTCTTGAAGTGTTCTCCATCACCAGCAGATTTCAAAGACTGCTATGTGAAAGTCTTTCAGGCATAACTGTACTGTTATTCTCTAATGTTTTCAATTTTTTCCCCACAAACATAAAAAGAAATGGAGAACACAGTCTATTTAAAAAACATCTTCTTTAGCCAGTGTGAAAACACTGAGGAGTACACATTTTCTTAAGCAGCTTTGTGCATTAAAACTGATGTAACTTTTTATAAAATATGCTTTAATGGTTCCACTATTTTGAAATAAAATTATTTGCTTTCAAAATATAACTCCATCATCATTGTTCAATTTGGATATTTGGGAATTTCATATATCCTGCTGAATGGCTCACCTGATCAATGCAGACATCCTTAAGAGGAGAGCTTGCATCTGTGCAAATAAGATTTCTGCTATTTGAAAATATAACAAAACTTTTAAAGATCCACATTAAAAGGAAACAAAAAATGTTTAATTTAATCACTTTGTAGGACATTGTTGTTTCTATTGTGTTTTGTACACTAGGTCAAATTTTTTTTATGTTAAATTCCTTGTTTAGTCCAAAGCATGGCAATCTGCCAGCCAGAGCTTTTAGTGATAAATTCTGCTATACAAAGCAAAAGTTTTTATATGTGAGGCCACTTCCTTCTGCTATTTTATCATCTTCCTGGTTTTGTCTGTTTTCAATAAATGCCTTTGTATTTTCACATCTTTTATATGCTTGTATACACAGACACTTTCCTCTGCATTAAAACTGATAGTTGCAAGTTGGTAAGGATAAAAAAGACAGACTGTTGACTTAAATTTCACTGCACTAATACATTACATGAATGCTTTAATGTTACTGTATTAAAAGATCTTAACATTGATATTAAAAGTATTTCCTGAATTTGGCAGGGGGAAGGAGAGGCAAGGATGATGTTTCATAATAAGTTTTTAAAATGGAAATAATCTCTGGGTACAGCTACACTTCAGTACTACAGATTGGCATATGAAGGCTGGGTTCTCACAGAGAATTTACATTATTTTAAAGCATCTCAAATTTAAACATATTGAAATTTAAAATCTGAAAAGAAATTATGGTGGAGATTAAACATCTCTCCTTTATCTGTCCCAGGGGGCTGAATATTTCTGCCTGAGGAGAAAAACCTAAAAAATCTCATCAGTAAAGAGAGGCCACAGAGGCCCCTGCACACACAGTGGAACCCAGTCAGTCTTGAGGGAAAGGAGAATTTGAATTAGGAGTGGTCAGAGGAGAAGGACGAGGTTGGAGGGAAGAAGTTGAAGTTGCAATGCAGCAAACTGGAGAAAAGCTTCTGGAACATACAAGAAAGAGAATCTGTCTCTGCTGTCCCTGCCCATTTTAGCAGTCTGTCATGAATTCCTTTTTTCCACAAAAAATGTTACCAAGGATGTAAGCTACAAATCATCATGTACTAATCTTTTTATGAAGACTTTTTTTGTTGTTCTGCAGACACATTGTTCTTTTACAATCATATTAATAGACTAAAAATAACAAGGGCAGTTCTACCAGACTTAAATTACAATTCTGTTTCTTAGGAATTATTATTTTATACTGTGCTGATTGAGATCACAGAAATCTTTTTCTGACCACAGAGGTATAAGGTACCAAATTCATCCTTCCTGTAACTGTACTGAGGTAAATGGAGTTACAGAAGGAATTAATTTGACCTGTCTCCTCCATTTCCTTGGAAAAATTCTTTGTTTTAGCTCTTGCCAAGTTTTCACTTTGACTCTCCCTTGCTTAACATCTTCTTGTGCCTAGAGAAAAGTTTTGCTTTCTTTAAGAGCATAAAGAGAAATACAGCAGGGGAAAGACAATTAAGGTGAGGATCTGCTTTTTAAATTACACTTCAGTTATGGTAAGAAGATGCCAAAACCTTTTTACTTGGAATAGATGTGTATGGGATTATTCTTACATCTGTGAGGATATGAAAGGTATAAAGCAGTACGTATAACCATGAGAGGGTAAGGATTGAACTAATGTTTTTCTGCCTAAGACCCATTTGTTTATTTCTAACTGCAACAGCTGTAATAAACAGGGACCTTTCTTGGCTAGAGACCATAAGAATTTAAAATATTACACATCACCTTTTAACAAAGAATCATCCCCTATCCCTAGACTCAACAGGTATATTCAAAAATAACCTATGAGAGAAGTTGAAAGCCTACTCTCAGCAGTATATAACTGCAATATCATGATGCAATAAATTTAATTTTTGGATGGCAATGTGGCATGAAATTCTTTGTAGAAATTCAACTTGGCAGTACAAAGTTCTTTAAAACACAAAACCCTCAAAAGCAAGGACTGGTGAGTTGTTTTCATGTTAGGGTTGCTATCATCTGTCTTCCTGCTGCCAGTAAAAAGCCAGGATAAAGCTTGGTCTAAACTCATAGCTCACTAACTTGAGAGAAATGCAAATACATGTTCACATTTAATTTTGATCAATTTATTTCCATTAGATGACCTAGGATTGCACAGATGAGATGTAACTAGCATGTAAGGCTGAGTACAGGCTCAGTTTGAGAAGGGCTGAGCATGAGGGATCAGAAAGTGAAATTAATGGAGAGTGTGGTTCAGGGTAAGGTTATAATTACACAGGGATATTGTCCCCACAGACAAACTCACCACCCAGCAGCCTCCCTTCCTTCTCTCCACACCATCTGTGTGTCACAGTCTACCAGGGCTGCACTTGTGCCAATGCAACTGTTTGTGGGTCCAGAGCATGAATTTAATCGATGGAACAATTCTTGGTTAAAAATCATTGGATTAGACAGAACTTTAAAAATCTGGATTGAGTGATTTGATTTACAGCATGGCTTCACAAACAGCTGCACAAACAGCTCAGAGGCCACAGTAAGTCAAAATCATTAGTTGCCAGTTCCTGCTCCTGTCTGAATTTATGGTTCCATGTTTATTAAACCCAGATTTGTGCACTGCTGACTAGCCAGCAGCAAGATTTGAGCCAGCTCACGTGGAGATATGCCATTGCATTTCACTCACTGGTGAATCAACACGAGCACCTGGCGTGACCCCTCTAACACACTGTGCCATGAGCAAGCTCAGCTTGTCACTTGGCTGCCACCTGTGCCAGGGGACACCAGCCCTGGTGCACTGGGACCTGGCTGAGGAGGCTCCTTCAGGCAGGAGAAGGAACTGTGGGGCTCCCATCATGTGCATGCAGCCAGAGCAGGATTCATGCACGGTCTGCAGCCCAGCTGAGCCTCCCACTGTAGGATGAATCAGGAATTTTCAATTCCCAGGCCTTGCTGAGACTGGAGAGTGGTGTGTGAGAATCCATCTAACCATGCCAAGCTGGAGTTAGCCAGCAGAGGGGAATTCAGACTGTGGCTACTTCTCAGGGTGGGAACAGTCTGGCCTTAATCAGCACACTCTCCTTTGAGAGTTAATTTACATCAAGTTCTTTCACTTTCCTGAGATAGAAAAACCCTCTCCAGCTTCATGCAAAATTCCATTCATGATCTGTTTCAGCCCATGTTCTTTGAATCCAAGTCCTCTTTTTCTGTTATTTTAGGCCCAGCTTTCATGCTAGAAAGCATCCTGCTTGTGTCTAGTACTGTGCATAATTAATACAGGTAGAACAAGTTCTCATGCAAAGTGTATTTCAGATCAGAAGAATTACAGAAGTGATGGACCTTTGCAATTTTTGATGCAATTTGTTTTCCTGACTGGGACATTCTGGTGTTTTTTCCTCAATGACTCATAAGGGGCCCTATCAGTGTTACACAATGGAAACAACCACTGCCTTCCAAACCCAGGAATATTTGATGCTAGGGGTAGATAAAGCTCATTTAGAAATCTTAAAAAACCCACAAACCCTCAAATGTGTCAAGAATAGGAATTGAACTGCAAATAAAATTCAGGATATGATTTCAAAGTTGATCTGAGAGAAACCTCTGCCAAATTTTTAGAAGAGACATATCTTTATTCTTGGGGGTTTTGACTGTTTTAATGGAACTAGCTTCCTATCCATACAAAAAAAGCACCCTTCATAAAAGATGTTTGACTTGCTAAGCTTTAGCTTTGATGTTCCCCAAAGCAATATAAAATACCTGCATGTAAAATTTTTTTGGCCTAAATGAAAGGTACAAGCACTCTTAAAACCTTTGAGACAACCAGCAAACAGGATTTTCTACAAAAATGTTTTTCCAGCTGAGAAAAATATGAACAGTGTGACAACATAAACATTTTAAGAAACAATACATGGCTAAAACCCATCTGCCAGGCAGAGGAAGTCAAAGAGTTTGCCTGAGGGGTTTAAGAATACCAGATTATTCAAGTACTGATAAATTAAAAAAAAAGACAAAAAAAAATAGGGGAAAAAAAGGACAAACTGATGGTCTAAGACCTTCCTGCATAGAAACTATTAAGCAATGTTTCTTAAAAAATAAAACCCGTTTGATTGCCTAGATTTCAAACAAAAGTATTATTTAATACAATGGCTGGGTATCAATGACAGTGATGCTGTCAACAAGATGTTGTTTCAGGAAATTAAATGCTTGCACCATTTTCCTAAACATGAGACATCTACGTGAGCAAGCTGCAAAATCAACCAATCAATTCTAGATGATAAAACACTGCACAACACCTGTATTGTTTAAGATGTATCTATATTTCTGGTATAGATCTGTATTCTCTAAGAATGTATTGCTTAGACTGTACAGATGTTCATGTCTCCAAGATGAACTGTTTTCCTTCAGGGTAACTATCCATCTCACCAGATCTAACAGAAATCACACCCAGCCATGCTTGCAAATGAGTGATGTCCTGCCTGCACAAGAAACAGAAATACCTGAATGGAGGTGACTCTTCCAGCAGTGAGAGCATTATTCCATCTCCCCGTGGCTGACACTGACATCCACTCTGATGGCCCAACAGTTACTTTACTTCTTTCTGCATTGAGAAAATTCAGAATTTTATCTCTTATACTTGAATACAATGCTACTATGAACATCCTCATAGCTCATGCTTTTGATTAGAAATAAAAACTTTATGAAATCTATAATCGTAAAGTTTTTATTTTCATTCACTGCTCTTGGAATCTGGCTCTAACTGAAACCCACAGGAATGGCTTCATATTTAATGAGCTTTATAGACCACAAAAATGTGATGTAAGGGTTTCAGTTGTCTTCACTGACTCTCTGTATAGGGACAAATGCCATAACAGATGTGCTCCTCAACTCTTAAAATGAAAAATGACATGATAAATTACTTCTTAGTGGAAACTGAATCAGAACAGTTGCTGAACTATCCAAAAAGAGACAGAATGAAAAAAAGACAAAGTATATTACCTGAAAAATCAGCAAGTAACCCCATTTATCATTGAGGAATCAACCCTGCCAACAGCAGGTTTTGGAGAAAGCCCAATTTTCCACTAAAGACTTTCTATTAGACTATTATTTATATGAATGACAGACTACAAAGTTCTTCCAACACTGAAGGTTAGACTTGTGGATATGAAACTGGCAAAATATACTGGTGGTAAAAATAGACCTAAGACTACAGAAGATACTACAAGAAGGAAAAAAACTCAAGCAATCCTGAGAAAACTGTTGATTTAAAGTCTCAATCATATGAAGAAAAGAATTAAAATTGATATGTACTTCAAAACAAAAGAATTATCAAAATTCCAGAAAACAAAGTAGATATGAAAAAAAATTATTCCCATGAGCAGGAAACAATTTATTGGAGTTTGTCTTGGAATTTGCTGAGACTGTAACCTGTATTGCTCCTGGCATCTTTGTTGGTAAGGAACTACCCCATATTTAATGATAGTGGTGCCACTGTTGGATTGCCAAAAACCAGGGAGGAGCTCTGCTATGGTAGAACTGCTATAGCTACAACTTGGAACTGTGACTGTAATTCTTTACTTGATTTTACACATTTTCAAAAAAAATCTACTCCTGACCTAGTTAGGTTTACAGGCAGACATGAGCTTTACTTTACACACAGGAAAATGAGGCAACAGGGTGAAAGGTTTGATCTTAAAAGTTTCTGTGGCACCTCTCAGCTACAGATTGAACAGCTTTGTCCACTAAAGCACCTTGTACACAGATTTAAATTTTATGTTTTGAATACTTGTAGGATCAGGCCCGTGCAAAAGTAAGTGTATGATACACACAGCATGAATGAAAATATTTTAAGGAATATCTGCCATCCTTTCAAAAACACACAAAGGCCTTGGAGAGAACACTATAATTTCACTACTCTCTTGTTCTATGTATCATTAATAAGTCATCCTACTAAAGCAGGGCTGAAGAGATTCTTCCTGAGAAGGTATTAAATGACATATATTCCAAAGTGCCAACACAGTAAGCTATTTATTCAGCAAAACACTGAAAACTTCCCTATTCAAGTTAATAATGAAGGTATAATAACGAGCATTTTCCATACCTCATGAGTTTGGAATTGGATTTCACCAAGATCTATTAAATATTGCAACTGGTCACATATAACTAGGACAGACATTTGTCATATCTTCCTTGCATCACAAAACAATTTTTCACTTTGCTATGAATTTGGAGAGTTTTAAAACTAGTTTTTCTTTCATGCAGTCAACAGGAATTTTGCAGTGAATGGGTGGGAGGAGGACTGTTCTCCACACTTCACTCTCCCCTGCTAATGGAATGAGTGATAAGCCTCTTGTATTTTGGACTAGAATAGGAAGGAAGGAAGGAAGGAAGGAAGGAAGGAAGGAAGGAAGGAAGGAAGGAATAAAAACATATACCTTATATAAAGCATAAATTAAATGACAGCAAACAATCTGTGATTGATTATAAAATTAGAATTTTTCTCATGAACCAGATTCCCCACTAATGTAAATAACAGTTTGCTCAGTGTGCAAAAATATTCAGAGCCCACTGTCAGTTCATCTGCACTGACTTATTTTAAACCATCCTTTAACGGCACTTTATAGACATAATTTCAAAATAAATGTCTTACCAAGGTGATGCTTCTGTTTTATGTAATCATATCCTTTTTTATAACTAACTTACTAAACTCGTAACAATATTTAATTTCAAATACGAATGACAATGAGGAGTATTTTAAAGGTTCATGATTTTTGGATGAGGTAAAACACTTTATCACGAGAGCAGCTGTCAGAAGCAAACCTCAGCTCTCAGCAAAATGGGCTGTAATAACCAGCTATTAGCAGCCGTGTCAAGAGGTGAGTGCTCCTGACACAGCTTCCTAGACGGTGCTCTGTCCCATGCCAGCCTACAAAAGGAAAATGAAAAACCCGATATTTTCCTGTTGGCTGACCTTTTCCTCCCACAGCTTCCTTTCTGAATAAAATTCTGACACGAACGGTTTTTAAAAAATAATAAGGGGCAGTGCCAAGGAAGGAAGGAAGGAAGGAAGAGTGATGTGTGCCAGTACACTTCAGCTTACCTTTACAGACTTTGGAGGCTGCTCATATCCTGACTCCCAGGGTTGGTAACTCACTGAAGATCTTTACTGAAGACTAAAGAAATGCCACAGATGCTCTGGCTCCTAGGGCAGTAAGGAGGAGAGTCCTTTCTGTTACCCACACAGACAATGTTCACCAACACAAACCCCTGCACGGCCCAAGGGGCACAGTCCCATTGCTACACCAGGCTCTCCATGACCTCTGTGGCAAGGGGAGTACCAGCACCGGATACAAGAACAAGGAGCAAGAAACCAGCAGAAAACCTGCAGAAACATCAGATGTCTCGGGCCCTTCACTGCAGGGCTTCAGGCCACTCAACCCTCACCTTCCAATCTCCTCCCGCTCCCCTTTAGAATTCCCCAAAGAGTCTTTAGACTTCCACAAAAGAGTCAGGGGCTCTGCAGACATTTTCTGGCTCTTGCAGACCCCAAAACACGACCCCGGCCGGCACGAGCCC